AGAGAGAGAGAGAGAGAGAGAGAGAGAGAGAGAGAGAGAGAGAGAGAGAATAGAAAGAGGTCTTTGGTGCAATGAGAGAGTAGAAGGATAGAAAACGAAGGTGGAGGAATGGAACTTGGTGCACGGCATTACGTGCAAGAGGTTGTGGTGTACAGTACACTATCTGGGATTTCCGTGCGAGGAGAGAAACGGAGCAGAGAGAAAGAGACAGAGGGACCACGCATGACGGGGCTGAGGGAGTGTTGGAAAGTGTCGGAGGGTGCCGGAGAGTGAAAAGAGAGGGAACAAGCACGCTCACCTATGGTGCCCCCTATGGGCGGGGTGTAGAGATGAGGCGTTTGCGCCTGCGTCATCGTACTGATGGTGCCCAGGGAGTCGTACAGCTCAGCGGAGGTGGCAATAGCGTTCCCGGGGAATCCACTGTGTTCGTAATAACCGCCGCCTCCACCGTTGCCGCCGCCAGTGCCGCCGCCGCCACCACCGCCACTGCCGCCATTTCCACCGCCGCCGTTTCCACCGCCGTTTGTACCACCGGTCGTACCGCCGCCTCCACCGCCACCAAGCTCGCTCAGGAGCTTGTGCTCGTCCTTGATGCTCCATTTACTCGACCACAGCTGCAACATAGACCAGCGAAACCTGAAGTCGAAGTTCGCGAGTTTGAGGGACATCCGAGAACAAGCGCCAAGATTGACTTGAATGTTGTAGCTCAGCCCACTTGGTCTCCCGATTACTGCAAGTGCTGGCCGAGAATTACGCGGATATTCTATGAAACTTGGCTCGCTTTTGATTGATTAGGGTATTTTAATGGAGATATATATATATATATATACTATCGGACCTGATTCACGTGGTCTGAGGTCTTTTAACCTCATTCGAATCCCAATTACCTATACGAATATAGATAATCTATTTTGTAATTGAATACATTTTAATAAACAAATTACTGTCGAAACATTCTGCTATTCAAAAAGTTTCTTCTCGACTACTTACGTTTGAATACAATTGATCGCCATTATAGTTGTTCCTTTGCCTCTTCAAATCGTTATCGGCGTGATCATTCAGGTCGCGATTATCATCTGTAAAAATTGAAAGAGCTGTTAGAGACAAAATTCATTTTTTAATTTGTAGCAACATATCACAAATATGTCGTCATTCAATATTAATCGCCAGTAGTGAGTCCAATATTAGAACAACATGCAGAATGTTCGATGAATGTTATTTCCATCGGTGTATATCTCGAATTTGATAATTTCGAAACGCGAGGGAAAATGGAGCAGGGACGAACATATCACACAGGACAGCACATCAACCGGTACGATCGGGTACGATGTATAGTCATCCACCCATACGCAGATCGGGTCCTATACGCGGCAGGTCTCTCGTATTACCCACGAATCAAGACACAAATTAAACGTGGCTGGCCGAAACTAAATTGAATCTGTCGAGGGCAGGATGCGCGGCGCGGTATGGCTCGCGCGCGTAGACGACGTATGGCATTGATAGATAGAGAAACAATTTCGATTCTATTATATGTCTTTATTATCTCCCGGTCGTCCCGGCGGTTTAATATAGAAACAGGCACGTGGGACGAGTGTCGTTATTCCGGTGCTGAGGGTGTGGGCATCGCGAACCCTTGCCGGGGATGAGGTCGTGAACGGAACCGACCGGTGAGAGGTATAGGGATGGACGACGAAAAAGGGGGGGTAAGGGGGACAACAGTACCGACGTAACATCGTTGGTGGGGGTAGATAGTCCAACGTTCTGGGGTATCTCGAATAATTAAATGACCATCCGAGGGTGGGACGAGTGGAGTACGCCTAGCATAGGGCTCGTTAAACCTCCCTGTCAAGTTGTGATTGTCCGGCCGGTCGAGAGTGACGATCCCGACCATTCGAGCGGCAGAGTTTGTTCCTGGACCGCTATAAAACCCTCGTTTCAAACACCGGCGGTGGCAGTGCCCCGTGCGTTCTCTTCCCGCTCCCGACTCTACTTGAATTTTACGATTTGATCGGCCGAGTTAATCGCGGCCGAGCTATGCCACGATATAGACGAGTATCGTGTTACGATACAATTTTACTAGAGTTTAGGGCACTTCCTGAGGATATCACAGTTACACCTTGTAAGGTCAAGATTGTACGTGAACCGAATTCGAGTAATTAGTAAAACGATCATGATTTAAAAATTTTATTGTACTTTAGATTTATCTTCTTTTTTTTTATTTTTTGCACTGAAAGAAAAGATTGGCTGCTGCAGCAAATTAGATGGTAAATATGGCATAGCATTTCAAATTTTTGGTTGCTGCAATTTTAAAATGCTATGCCATATTTACCATCTAATTTGCTGCAGCAGTCAATCTTTCCTTTCAGTGTATGGATATATATAATGTTGAAAAGTTAATCAAGTCGTATTCAATGAAGTGTACTTTTATGCGAACCAAAGTTTGCAGACTTCGAGAAGGCGAAATCATAGACGATCCTCGACAGATTTGACAACGAATGAATTATGTCGCGCGGAAGGAAGGTCAGCGTCCCCCAAAAAAGAGCAGTAAATCGAATAACTCGATTGATGCTCAAGAGGGCAAAGCACGCGCTTGTACGAGCGAGCGAACGAGCGAGCGGGCGAACGTTCTCGCGTTATTCGAAAGCAATTGAGTCAATGTTAAGCAATACAATACACGGGTAATAATGGACTTTGGGGCGAATCTGGCCCCGCGGTGTATCCCCTACGTCCAGGGGATTCATAGGGTGGGACACGCCGGGCTTTGGGATTCTGCATGGGGTCAGAAGCGCGCAGATGTAACGCGACAACAAACAGCCTCGATAGATTGCAATGCTTCCCTCGAGAGGTCGTTCGTAAATTCGTAATAAGCTCCGGGATCTTTGAGTACGTCTTGGCTCGCTCGTCGAAGATATAAATAATAGCGCGCTGGGACCGCTTCGATTTTTCTCGATCGACGAGTCTCAAATTGTAGGAACATTGGAATTCGTGAACTCGATACGTTATAAAGATTAATAAATAATATTTTTCAACAAACGCTGTACCATGTGTGTGCTCTGATTCGACAACTCATAGGATCTTTGATTGTAATTTTGATTGTAATATCTGACTATGTCTCTCTCGAATTATGTATTCTGCCAAATAGATGATTGATGATTTTATCTCTGGATTATATCATTCCGGACTTTAAAATCACGATACAACTTCTACAAAGCGTCTTCATTATATTCTTTTACTGTCAAATTATAATATTCAATATTCTGTTTATTTTTTTACAGTGAAAATGATCAAAATTATGATTAAAATTTTGTTACTTATTATCATTAATATTAATATTCATATACAAATTTTACACACTACTATCCTGTGTTGGCTTACATTTGGCATGCATTTCTGATTTATTATTTATTTCTATTGAAACCTTATTATTTTATATTTATAAAAATTCCTTCTATTTCTTTAATATATAGCGTTTATAATTCAGTATAATAAAATTAACTGAAACACGAAGATCTTTCGAGTTACGTCCGATCTAGCTGCTGTAAAACAACAGCGTTTTCATCACTGGAAAGTTAAAAGAGGATCGATCGCGTTTTATAACACAGTTTTTCCCGCGAGTCTCTCTGGTCAGGGGATTTCATTAAATTTGAGTACTTGTGGCTAGGTTAACGCGACGCTCGGTCGATTTTTACATTCTGACGCATAGCACCGGAGGAACGTTCGAAACGATCGCCATGCTCGCTCGTTGAAATTCCAGGCGGTTAGGAGGTACGCGTATACACGTACGTACACGCTGATGATCTCCCCAGAGGATAGGGAAGCTAATGTGTCGTCGGGGCCGAGATAGAGAGGAAGCCTGTCTGTGGTCTCTGTCTCTCTGTGAAGTTTATAATCTAATACGTATACCTACCCTCTCGGCGCGAGCGCACCGCTTGCAAAACATTGAGTGCTCTCACCGCGGACGCGACCACTTTTGCGGCCGCGTATCGCCGCTCTCATAATCCGATTATATTGAATTACCCATGTACCTATCGGCACACTGCGCGCCGCGTTCCCGCGTACGAATCGATACACCTCGCCGCGAAACGCGCGCTCGCGGAATTTTGATCGAGCTCACGCGCGCGGTTTTCCTCGCTGCATCGCATCGCGCAACGTTGCGGCCTGCTCGTGTATGTATCACAGAACAGAAAAAACGCAGCGGAATCATGTCGATCGAATTAATCTAATCGTTTTCCCGATGACACGGGTAATGGATTAGAAATTTTTTTCTGCTTCAGCATTTTGCTAGACGCAAGATTATTTCGCAACTCGCGAGGGGTTTTCGCGACGCGTTCGGCACAGAAAACCTCTTGCGGAGCCAAAGCGCCGTTGTCGGTCACGTGTACGCGGCACGTGTCATGAATATTTCGGTCTGCGTTATTCATGCAATGACAGCAGAATGAATCGCAACACGTGCTCGGTGACGTTTGACTGATAACCTTGCAGTGTATGCGGCTAATCTTGGTTCGCTCAGGGCAATGAGTGCTTCAAGTGACTCGATCATTCGCAAACGAGCACGTAGAAAATGTATGGCTCAAAACATATGTCCTAATAGACAAATTTTCTACATCGGGCGTCCGTACGCAAACAATATCGTCATATTCTATTTTTATCATCTTTTATTATCCTAACCACACGTTGCTCAATATTATTGTGTGAGAAGTGTTACATGATATAAACGAGATATAAACGAGAGTAAAAAATCACTTGTAATTTATTGCATAAGCTGTAAATACTGTAACTTTGTCTTTGTATGTCCATTCAGTAAATAATTGAATAAAATACAAGGGAAACCAAGACTCGTTGTCATAAAAGGCAAGTTGTATTATCTCTAAATTCTTTGGAATCTCACTCTAAAAAGCCAGTGAAAAGTGAACCAATTTTGAAAAAGAGTGGCTTAATTTTCAATCTTTAAGAATGTGATTTTGCTCTTCAAAGACTTTTAGAGTGATAATTCACTCTAAAAGTTTTAGAGATTTCCGTTTATGTATTTATGGTGTAAGAGACAATGGAAAAGTTATTGCAAAATATCTCTTTTATAACATAAATATTTTTCTCTAAGTTTCATTTAAAACAAATTTCGAACAAATGTTGCAATAAAAAAGAAAAAAAATCTAATCGAAGAAACAAGTACATATTTTAGTATTTCATAATTTCATATTCAATGTTCTTCAATTTAGATAATCTAAGTAATATATTGTTAGTTAAAAAAAATTTTACCATACGATATATTATTTTGATACCATATATTATTTTGAGTATAATAATAGTAACTTGTAATAAAATGATTGTAATAAAATCAGACATAGGGATAAAATACGTTGACTCATATTTAAGAAAAGATTAGCCTGACTTGTTATACATTTGTGCACACATTCGGTTACAATTTAATTCTAGCAAAACATTTTGTATTTAATATCGTTATTCTATTTCTATATTAAGTAAGCTAAAACTATAGTAATTTATATTTGTTTTTTTAACACTATTATTAATAACATTTTGTTATTTAAAATTTAAATTATCATTACAAAATTACTTTAAATAATCTTTACTCAAAAATACGTTATATCTACTGTCTGTTTTTTATTTCTATTATATTTTCATTAATTTAAAGTTTATCATAGAAGCAACTTACATCATAATACATATCAATTTATCTCGAAACAAATTACTACAATGCAGCATATTATTCATATAATGCAGCATATCATTCATTTCAGTTACTAAAGAAACTATACAGAGTATTATATATATATATACAATCATTTTGGTGTGAAAATGTAGAGAAAGATTGTCTCTGTTACCTTAGTATATTTTAATCATAATAATTAATGATTTACAAAATCTAATGTCGAAATTATAAAAATTATGTCAACGATTTTTAGTTTCTCCTAATTCACGAATTTTCGCAATTAAATAATGCGAAAATTTGAATATTCAAAATCGAAACAATAAGAGCATACAAACAAGCATTGATGATACGATTTATGAAGTTGTATCATCGTATATATAGTACCAAAGTCTAATTACAAGTCTTTGCGAAAAATTGTTTAACTTCTTAAGAAGTTGAACAATGAGAATTCATTGTCTATTTGCAAACTAAATTGACTTACATTTTATGTCACGTTATCGAGGCTGCAACGACGATATAATATTAATATTGAAAACTTACATCGCGTTAATTTTTATAAGCGACTAATTTTTATGTAAGTTACTGCATCTTATACGATCCATAATTGTACGAACAATTATTCAATCTCAACTATTGCAACGTGAAAATACGCTACTATTCAATTTATATACCTGCAATAGTAATAACATTTCTTCCTGACGCATACTATCGCATCACGCTGTTTCACTTCGAGATTTCTGCAAGTTCAGTTGCAATTCGATATCTCAACTACAGCGATCTCGTTGCCGATAATAAGCGTTGAATTCAGTATTGAATAATGTTACACGATGACAGAGCGTAATTGGTAAATATAAGAAGATGCGAACGAAGAAGCAAGGCCAGCAGCACGAGCGAAGAGTTGCTCACCGTCAACGCTGCGTTTTCTCTTGATGCTGTTGCCATTGGGATCCTGATGGTGCGCCGGGATACCCAGGATGCCACTGATACTGTAAGCGTTAGGAGCGGTGGCAGCTGGATGACCTGCTGCCGTCGCAGGTGCATGTGCTATCACCGACACGGAACCGCCCGATCCTGGCTGGCCTTGCTGTTGACCTTGCTGCTGCTGCGCCTGCTGTTGCTGATGCGCGTGCTTCGCCTTCTCCGCCGCCTTGTTCCTCACGATCCTGCGAACAATAGATCAGACATTGTATAATGTCCACCAAAACTGCCATGTCACCAAGAGACGTCTTGCTTCTCTGTATTTTTTTCTTTCTCGATTAAAAATTTAAATAAATCGCATCGGCTGGTAATAAATCGCATCTTCGACAACCGATTTGGATCTCATTGGAAACGCTTTCGGCAAAGTAGAAGTGTAGACGCATCTGCGCTGCGCGCGCTGCGTATCTATTAATATACAGTGACTTCATAGTGCAACAATAGAGTGGCACAAAGTACCGATTGTTAATTCCAAGTCCGTCGGGCGCAGAGCGATTCGCGTTCGAGATTGATGATGAAGCTTGCCATTGTTACGAGACAAGATCTTCCTGTTGAGTGCGCGCGGCACAGCGCAGCGGTTTGACTCTTGAGCGGTGATAAACAGAAATCAAGATATTGAATTGGTCGCAAATCACACGATTGCTAATTCGGATTGTACGAATTGTGAAATATATAAAAATTTAAGGAGAAATAATACATATATGTAAATCAAACACGTATGTTATATCTAATTTTTTTAAAAGATACCGAAATATTTCTCCTAAAAATAATCTTCTTTCGTTTCTTCAACGAGTGTCTGTTACACTCAATGCGGAAGAGCAGAACGAGTCGCCATGACGAAAGTAACGATTGTTCATTCCAATTCCATCACGCGGTCGATCATAAATCCTGACATCACCGCTTAGAGCGCGAGGCTATGTCTGCCTTGACTCTACCAGCGATAACCGACGGAGCCACCCTATACGGTGCTGATCCGCGGAGTCACGGGTTACACGATGATTAATTACGATTACGCGGGTCACTTCGCCAACGATCATTCTTCTTGATTCCGATGTATAACCTAGACCTACCTACCGCGAGTATACACTTCATCTCCCTCGTACGAATGTGCCCGACGTTGTACACGTATATGAGGAGACGCGAATAGTTTCATTATTGTTACCCGATGTCGGGACCGTTGGCCGCTACCTTCGAATAGCAACCAGCGACGTGACTTTGCGGAACTTGGCCGCATCGTATCATAATCGCATCGAGGGAGAGCCGCCGCCGCCGCCACGGATGTAACGGAGTGGCCATCTCGACTCTCCCTTTTCTCCCCCCGTCGAGTACGGGCGTATGCACTGGCTGCTTATTATCCGTGATATATTGCGCGTGCGGTTTCAATGGTCAGCCGCTCTCCCGACGTCGGTATCAATTATCTCGGCGAATATTCACGGTGGTGCGCTGTTAATCTCGCGCGAACTAAATCGCGCGCTTTGCAGCGCCAACAATCGGCCGCGTCTAGAGATCCTCAAGTAAAAGAATAACAGTCAAGCAATGTATGATTATTCTTTTTAAACTTTCAGCTCTGACGGCTAATTCTTACGATACGTTTTACAATTATAGGTAACGAAAAATATGTGGTAGCCTTAAGAAATTGGACACTATATGTTTGGTTCGCCAACTATTTTTTAGGCTCTACTTAAGATGGAATGAAATAGATTATGTACAAAACAGAATAAGATATCCAAACATTTCATTCTAGCTTCAGCAGGTTTTGAAAAATATGGCAGACCAATTAGAAGTCTAACCATGTCGGAATCTCTTCAAGATCCCTAACCGCGCTCGATACGCTCTTTCAGCCTTGGATGTGATTTAACGTTCGCCACGTAATGACTTTTTATTTTTTGTACATAGCTGACAACATACTCATCAGAACAGGCATATCCCAGTAACAAATCGGCGAGAGTTCGTTTTTCAAAAGATTCGCTCAAAGATTTTTATGCGACGGTAGATACATGAACGGTAGATACTTGAGATTGTAGTACATTTTTCGCATAAATTATCAGTAAGGCGTTTAAATTTTCATGAATTTACACTTTGGATTTCTCAGCAATATTCATAGTATAACTATCTTTCTTCTATTAAGAAGAAGAGAGAATACGAAAAAGATTACTGAAAATGTAAATTTCCGCATAGAGTAATTCGCAAGGATAGTATGTAATGTGTGCCCCACACACACATACGCTTGGTCGTAGAACGTAGTGAATATCTACTCTTTTTCAACGATCATTCTTTTTCACCTCGTAATGCACTTTGGAGCGCGTCAGGTTAACGATTCCTCGCCGGGATGGGCCAGTACGTAATGGATCGACATTAAGTCCTTCGTTTCTGCTGTGGATGTGTTTGTGGGCTAGGTAATCGTGGGGGTGCGAGCAACGGCGATCAATCAGATGACACCTGTTGCCCAATCTCCCTCGTTCGTTCGCCACCTTCACCAATTCGCAACAATTAGCAGCGATCCTTATCAAGGTTAGACTCTAGGGTAGCCGAGGTACCAACGATCCTAAACCGACAAGTTATCGCGCGTCGCTCTCCACACATAGAAATTACACACGTGCAATGTAACTAATCACTATCGTGTTTTCCGATAACGATAAACTAATTAACCTGACTACTCATTGCATTTATACATATTAATTAATTATCAAATAATTAACATGATCCAAGTTTCTATTTTAAAAATATGTGTCTATTGAATATATTGATAAACAGATCGAATCAAAAGATATTTAAAGAAATATTTAAAAGCATAAGAAAAATATTTCTGCTGGAGAACATTATGGTTTGATAAAAACGTTGTCGTGTTTGTTCACTATAATATAGTATAATCAGCGATGCGTTCATTATTTTTCTGTGGTGAAACATGAGAGGTATTTCGTGAATGATGAAAATCAGACGCGTGTCTTCCGCGAAACAGCACGTAACGACTTTACTCGCACGATATAATGAACGTAATCGACGATCTAATAAATGCAACGGCGCTCGAGAAGTAATCCTTTTGCTACAACAGGTGCAGATTATATCGCGATACAGATGGTGCGAACCGTTGCGACACGGTACGCTTCGTTCGGCGAACGCGACCGAATGAACGAGAGCTTTCGCGTTAAAATTCATTGCGCGCCCGGGCCTCGGCACTCTAATTAACGTAATCCTTTGCGAGCGTGCTCGTTATCGATGCATTGCTAAATATTAGCAGCCGGCTGGTAATTTTCTATGCCACTGACAGGGGATGAAGCAATTCGCCAAAGACTAATCGAATTGTTGCGCGGTTTTGCGCAAGTAGATCCCAATGTTGTGTTATTATTTTCGTCACGTTATGCATGAAACATTAATACATACTATGAGTTAAGAAAAAGCAATTTCGAAAGATTTTTCTGAGATGAGAATGATTGGAGATATTTTGTTTATAATGTGGAACATTGATCCTTTAAGAAACTATCATTTTTGAAAAGGAAAGATTGTATATCGATTGTACGGAAACAAGGAATGCCACTATAAAGGGTAGTCTAAGGTAGAAAGAAAGAGAAAAAGAGAGAGTCTTTTATAGACAGAGGTTGCCGGGAAAATAGAGAAGCGAGTGGATGAGAACGAAGTTCGTACGACGTAACCCCAACATTTTCCTGACGCTACAATGTTTCTCCCTTCGTGCTTGATTCTGCGCTCTTGTTCTTCTCTTTCCCTTTTCTTTGTCTCTTTCCCTTTTCTTTGTCTCTTTTCCTCTCTTTCTCTCTCTCTCTCTCTCTCTCTCTCTCTCTCTCTCTCTCTCTCTCTCTCTCTTTCTCCTACCATTCCGGTACTTCATCTAATCATTGAGTGCGCCCTTTCTTCTGTGCTTTTCCCCGTGGCGATTCTCGTTGCGATCTGCGGCGCGAGACGATGCGAGCTCGACGGTTTCCAACACAGATTTCACAACTTGTTTTACTTCTTCCATCTATATAATTAAGCTTCCATGCTTAAACCTGATAAATTGCTAACAGTGACTTTACGAGAAAGAAAATGGCATTTGGTACGTATTACAATATACAAATAATCACAATCTGTTTTTATAACATCGCGTACTAATCGTTGAAGGTTTTTTATTTGATAATTAAACATCCATTGCAGTTGTTTCCGCTGTTTGAATCTTGGCTGAAGTCGCGTTCAATAGTTGTATACCGTAAAGTTAGCTATCCAACTCGCATTTTGGCGCGAATTTGCGAGTTTGCCATTGGGGGTTGCAAGTATGTTGCTGGAAAATCATGCGACGGCTTTCGTTCGTGTTTGAGAGTAGGGAGAAGAAAGTCCCTCGATTCTTGACTCGGCATGAGCACAAGGAAGGGAATTTCCCGCGAATACGAAAGGATGTTCTCCTTCGCTCTCACGATTACGATGCCTAAGAGAAACCGGAGGTGGCGCCTCAGAGGAAGGCTTGGTAGAATTATGAGGGTAGAGCTGTCGGGGGTGCCACGTGGGAAGAAGCTATGCCTCCCCTGGCGCCGTCAGATCGTTCCCCAACGGCCACTCCTGAACTAAACTGCTTCACTATCTACCCTGAAGTGCCGGTCTCCTACCAAAGTCAAGCTTCCTTGTCGTTCGCTTTAAGTATGTGGATGTCGCAGCCGCATGCCGCTTAAGTCTCAGGATTGCATGTACTTATAAATTTAAGAACAAGAGAAATAAAACGAATTATTTACTTGTCGTTTTAAAACTACGTTGTTTAAAACGTTGTTAGAGAGAAGACGCAGATGGAAAATTACACAAAAAGAAAAGTCATAGTTTCGCTTCTATATGCAATGCTAGTTTCTATTTTTTATTTCGTATTTTTATAATTGCGTGAGCAGTAATTTTGAAAAATACGTACACATTTTTCAAATAACAAAGCAATAGAGAGAATGTAAATCATTGAGGTTACTCGAGCGTATCTGGCGACTTCACGTCTCGAATACGTAGTCGACAACGATGCTGAATGATAGTGTTTTTATTGGTTGGAATTTATTTCTAACAAACCAATAGTAACTGCAGGAATATAAAAGATGCGTCCGAACGCGTACAAGTATTACACGAACTCCTATGATAGAAGTGCTCCACCATCCTCGCGATTCTAGCCGTCACGGCTAGGAAAATCGTAGGCAGCAACCACAAGCGACGTTCTGAGAAAGCAGGAGAT